ATTGATAACATGTTTAGCACTACTCTAGTACCCAAGGGATCAATTTTTTCAGCAATTTCTTTTCCAGCATACAATGAAAAACAATAGCTATATACATCTTACCCCACACATCGCCCATAGCTTGTAACCAAAACGAATGGGTTTTCCTTTTATAAACTGTTTTAGGGAGTGGTGACCGTAATATCTTACTATAATTTCGTCAATTGACAGATTTTCTTGAAAAACCTCAAATTTAACAAAATCGTTGTTGATCCTCCTAGCAATGGCCGTATTTTGAAACACTTGACATTTTTGTTGATATTTGCTTTTGTATTATTCGTAAAATGAATTACTGATTTCAATTCTTGATAAGCGTTTCTGTTCATAGCATTCTTTACAATCGCTTGTCCTAAGTTATCATCATCAGACCAATAGTCTCTCTCCGAGGGCAAGGTATGGTATCCACTGAATATAAGAAAACCAATAAAAATCTTTATATTATGTGTGGAAATGGTAAATCCGTGCTTATTTTTGGGTGTAACTGCTTATCTTACTGTTTCTTGAATAATAATATCAAATAAGTGTTCAAATATATTCACGGCAGAAAGTTGATTCAATGTGGTTTTGAGTTCATTTTCTTTTTAGATATAGTCTCGCTCCGGTTCAAAAGTTTCATATACGGGATCAATTTCGGCCCAGCTGGTGACAAGTTTGCCTGGTTTCCCTATTTTTGAATGAATGAAAGAAATAATAATGGCAAGTCGTCTTCATCGTCACTTTTATCTCCATCTTCGTTTCTTTGAATTTCAACATCCGATACATCAGGAACTCCTGTATCTCCATCATTGGCAATTTCTTCATCGGTTAATTCATCTACTTCCGGAGACAATGCCAGTATGTCTGCTTCTATTTGTTCGGAATATAAATATTCCGCAGCTTCTTCCAGAGTTTTGAAAACGTTTTTACTCATTATTCAAGTCTAGAAAAAAGCCAATAACGGATTAGCCTAGTGATCTATTTATAGATCACCATATTTCGCTGGGTAAAAAATTGACAGGTGTGAACTTTTTCTTTCAGGATTATTATAGTTAGTTTCATACATCACTTCTAAACTTATATAAAAAATATAATTGACTTACCTAAAGAAGCTTTTGAAAAACACTAACAAACATCTGAGATGACACCGTTGTAAAAAATCGATATTTACGAAATCGAACCGTTCGAGCCCGTTTGTTGACGAAGTTCAACTAACGTAAAATGCGTATTAGAGTGTAAACAAATATAAGTGGTGAAAAAAATGACTGTTGGTACTTGTCCGTCGATGAAAAACTTTGGGTTTTTGTTCTGATCTATAAATAGATCGCTGGGCGCTAATGGGTTAAGCTTGGTTCTCATGGGTCCGGAAAGCTTTGCGAAAGCGGAGTGCGGAAAGTGCGCACGCAGCCTACTACTACCATTACTACGTGCCGAAAAATTCACGACAGTGTTGGCATATCTTTCGAGAAGCGAGATACGATACAACTCTTTTTTCTACATTTTTTCTATGCCAGTATTTTGAGGCGCATGAAATTAACGTTCGAAAGCAAAAGTTAAATCTGCTTTTATTAAGAAAACAAATACATGAAAATGAAAGACGGTCGAATAGACGCCGCTGAACTTCACTGGAGCATCACTGGAGATAACCTAGGTTTTCACATTCTTCCGCACGCCATGCGGCAAATATTAAAGTTCGGGAACTTCTGCGGATGGGCGGAGCTAACGCATCCGGCAGACTTCTGATTGATCGGAAGGTTTTCCGTATTCCGCATTCCGGACTCATGAGTACCCAGCTTTACGTCGAATTTTGCAGTTTAAGTCTGATTCAAATGCATTTTTCTACCAAATTAAACTCAAAATACACAGACGTTCAGTAATTTTTAATACTGTCATGGGTCGAATCACAAAACGTGTCAGCTTAATGATACAGTGTTAGTGGCAGACAACGAAGACGAGCCATAACGCATTTTCTTCCAATTTCACATAAGTGCTGAATAACTGAAAATTTCAGTAGCAAAACTAAATCAATAGTGATATCTATATATATATAAAAACTTGCTGTAAGACATCCATTAGCAACATACCCATCGATCAGGTCCACCTTCAAATTCTTTTTCAAACCTTCAAATATAGAAGAAGAAGCATATCAACAGATTGCCTGTTAGCAATCTCGGGTTGCTTTAGTGACGGTATATGGAGAACTGATATAATAAACATCGACAGTAAACATGTAATTCATAAGGCATCTGTTAAAACAATTTTTACATGCGCAGTGGAAATTGGTCCCAAAAGTGCTAAATCAAGCAATATTACCAGCCCATCTTTAAAGGGCGTCTTACAGTCGGTAATTTTATTGCCCGCAACTTTTTTGCGGCTATTTTCTTGCAGCTATATTTTTAATACTCCGGTTTACAGTGTGCAACGTTAAACTTCACATTTAGACAAATCCATCAAGCCTACCAACTATTCACTATACGTAAAAAAATCCAAAGTTTGTTTGTTTGTTCTGTTTTCGTTTGAGGTTACAATTACATATACTGCCAAGGAGGAAATTATTGTTGTTAACATAAGTTGGAGCTTATTTCGATGAAAAACAAAAATAAGCAAATATGCCAGTGCTGGTGATTTATATTACTATGAGCGAACAGTTGGCAGCATGAAAAAAACCAGAAAAGTCACTAAAATAGCGGCTAGCTGCAAGAAATTTTAGGTTTGGAGCTATATCCGGCCAGTACAATAAAAGTTGCCGGCAACTCGAAAACTGATAAAATGCGCAAGCGTAGAATGAAATATTGGATGCAAGAAAGTTGCGAGCAATAAAAATTGCCACCTGTAAAACGGCCTTAACAGACCATATTATAGGTAAATGATAAAGTTGGTGCAAGCTCCGATTCTAAATCGAAATAAGTATTGTAAGGGCTCGATAATGATGTTGGCAAAAAGACCGAATCATTACATCCCAATCTCCTGTATGAGTTGAAAGAAGTCCATCCCAGAACAACAGTTAAAGGTATGGAACAATTTACCGAGAGAAAACGGACAAGGTCCCAAACAACGAAAAAGAACACGTTGGGTTTGCACATATTGCTACGTCGTTCGATTAATTAAACCACTTCAGCGTTTCCTCCTAGAATTGCCGCGAGTTAACTTTTACAACAAGTTAGGACTTTCGAATCGAAAATTTTGAAACATCGTTTATTTTATTACGTTTCGGCGAAACAACAGTGCCATCATCAGATTTAAAATGTACACAAACTACAAACACCAATTCACAATTAAAACATGTTGTATAAAAACTATAATTTACAAAGTGTTAAAACATTCATAAGTTTTTGAAGGAAAAAAATCCTTCCCTTTGGGAGAGCAAAATACCGGAAAAACTTACCTCCTGATTGGTAAAAATCAACGTTCTTTTAGGTCTTTGCCTTCGTGAAACCTTATATTTGTCTGAATTATTTTCTACATTTGTATTGAGACCTTTGTATAGTTTTAAATTTTCACCAGTGTACTGGAAGTGTTCCATACTTATGGCTTTATTAGGGTTTGGTTAATGTTGCTAAGGTCTGACGGAAAGTATCTGATCTGAAATTTACTACTTTTGCATGTTTTTTTATTTGTATCATTTCTTGGATTCTCCTTTTATGATCATTTGTTTCCCTAACTGATATATCTGCGTTGTTAAAATCAAAATTATGCAACATTTGGTGTGCATGTTGTGTTAATGCTGTTTTATTTTCACTAGTATTTTTCAGACTGTACTTATGTTCGTACATTCTCTTTTTTAAATATTGTTTAGTTTGTCCTGAGAGCCAGGAAAGATAAGAAGATATTTATTACTTAATCCAATTTTTTTAAATAACGAAAAGTGCATATCAAATAATTAGCAATTGCAGCTTTTATTTCATTTAATTTACATTAGTATTTTTTATTTTCCAAGTTTTGCAGTTAAACATAAAAAAAGTATGCGGATCATAAACATATATGTTATAACCAAAAATAATATTTAATTTAATATTTGAAGCGTTGTGAAATGCAGATAAATAAAATGTTCAGTTTTTAAGAGTAGCACTGGTTGCATTGTGTCATCATTGGCGGGATTACTGAAAATATTTGACAATGGCAAACATATTTCCGATATTTCTAATGGATTTTAGTAGTATTTTATGTATTTTGATCTTTACAAAACACACCAATTAATTTAATATTTGTTAAAATAAAGTTACTAGAAATTTTAAAATTATTGGCCGCTTTATTCCGTTCCATAGTCAATCTTTTGTGCGGCACAGTAGTTTTGCAAAACTACTCTCTGCCAAAGAAGAAAAGAAATGCGTGAGTATTTTTTTATTTTTTTTTGTACTATTCGGACTATGCTGTACGGCTTACGCCACTGTCCATGGTTAGTTACGATCAAGTAATGTGAAAATTAAGTTGCATCTGCATACTAACTAAATGGGAATTTTGATCCTCTCACTTTGCCATTTCAATGCATTTTCAGTAAACAGTGACTCCTCAACAACAGCAATTTTGATTACTTGCAGGTTTACAACAATTCTTAAGCCAAAACCCCTTTGCGCTGGATTGTTGGAAATATTTCTTGATCAACAAAAAGATGTATGTACGTGAAGCGTTTGGCCATGTCAATATATAGAATGACCATAACTGTCGAGAATTAATATCAAGGGCGTTCAGGTTATAAAATAAAATTTCTTAGAACCAAGTAGCATATTTCGCGCATGCAATGTAGACACTCAAGTACCCTTTTTGCAAGCACTAGACGGGAACAATAAGGCTACCAAAATGACATAACATTCAGTTATATAATGGGCTAAATATACAGCTTACGAATAAGTATTTGTGAAATTTTAAGTAAGAAAGTTACCGACGTTTATTACTTAACGCTTATCACTTTAATGTAGTTTTATTTTCATTGTTAAGCTGATTTTGTTGCCTTTCCAAAATACTTTACCATCTAGTGAAAACTCATGTTTATTATGGATCTGCATTTTATTTATAAACATTAGAATATTTTATTGAAAAATCTTGTTCTGGGTGATGTGGTTTTGTCTCCATCTCCATTTGCCATTGCTTGAAGTTGCCGAGTTAAATCATTTATTCGTTCGTCTTTTATTATTAACATATTTTCTAAATGATCTACCTGAAATTAACAGTGAATGCACAATCCTTCACACAAGACGTCCAAAAACCAATTAACGAATGCAAATCATTTTTGGTGTCAATGTGTTGTTTAACAGGGCAAAATAAATATCACTAAATTCTATTCAATTCAAATTTTGTAGTGATATTCCATTGCTAAACAATGTTTTTTCGTTGCTTGACTTTTTTCCAGTATTGATGGGTAATAATTATTTAAAAGTATCCATTGGTGCAAAAGTTTACTTTATATATTTATATAAATATGCCATAAAAGGAAATATACAAAGAAATAGGCAACAGATTTCTCCTTCGCGAATTTGATGATCACTAAATTTCACTTTCATTTTAAATCTTAAACAGTCTTAATATGAGCGAAAATACTTTTAAAAAATCCGGCATACTACAAGGATATTAACAAGGTTTCGAATGAACGTTATTGAGCTTTCTGCATGTGTATGAAAGTTCTGCTAAATGAAAAATATAAAAACTTCTTAAACAAGGCGTTTTTTTAAGTTTGGTTTAAAGTAAGTAGGTACTGTTAAAACCGTGGTTATTGCCAGCATCATAAATGTATTTTATTTATTATAATTTAATTTATTTAGACACTTTGCTACTAAGATAACAGGATTCGTATTATTTTTGTCTGTAAAAGTGTGAAATTTTGAGAACATAATAGCTAGTTAATCAAATCAGATGACAATTACTAATATTGTAGATTGAAGGTATATGCAATTTGCTTGTACCTTTTGCTGTAGTTTTAACAACTGATCATTCTTCTCCATTATATCGGCTTCCATTTTGTTGCACATGTCAACTGGCATTAGCTTTTGTTTGATGTTTTTGATCCTGTCTTAATTTTAACATCAAAGACGCCTCAAAATAGGTACGAACAATTTTAATTAATCATGAAAGTTTTATTTCCGATTTTCCTCATTCTAAATGTTTCTAAGTATTTTTATTAAATCTACTGAAGTAATTTGTAAATGTTTCTTTGTTGTAGTAAGCGTGTTCTGGTTAATTAATGGCTAAAAGTTATATTGAAGTATAATTCTGTAGAGCCAACTGATAAAATGAAAAATATTATATAATTATAACGTTTCTATCTAAAGTTTTAAGGATATTTTTTCATAAACGTTAAATTAAATAAAAATATATTCTAAACTGTTTGCGTGCCATTTACCTTCCGGAGATTCATCACTCGAAATACCTTCCAAAAAGTAATTTTTTTCACTGCTTTCACTGCTTTTTTCCCGTACAGATTGCTGTTTTTCCACTTTCAGTTTTATTTTATGAAGAAGTTTTTCTATGCCTCCGGGAGCGGCTTTAGCCAGCTGCTCTTGTTCTAAATAGTTCAAATTGATTTTTAATTTGTTTAAAACCTGCAAAACTAAAGTTTACTTTCTTGTTGATTTATTTTCTCTCATGTACCTTTTTATTCAATATTTCCCAGTTGATTAATTTTTGGGAAACAGCGTTTCTGGGCGCGTAATTATGCAACTCAACAAGTTTTGGATAGTGCTTCTTTAGAATTTCCGCTAATGGAACTGCATCCGAAAAATCTCGAGTCAAATTCTTTTTTTGTCGAGTAATCTCATGATCGTCAATCCAACGGAATAATTCGTCCAGATCAAATTCCATAGGGAATACTTATTAACTTACTTTTTATGGAAATACAGAAAAATGTCAAAAAAATATAAGAAATATATCTGCCAAAAATTGGCGTGTGTAGACTTCAATGTCTTTGCTTAGAAAGCCTGGTCCCAATCAGGTAGTTGATTGAAAAAAAGTGCAGTGCTGGGAGATGAGTTCAATAGATTCGCTGCTTTACCAGGCTTTGCTTCACTTTGAATTTCCTTCTCATTTTTTTTTCGTTACTTCAAAAGTATAATTTACGTTCTTTAGTCTCTCAGTTTTTTACAGCTCCATTAAATAAGAAAATATTTCCTCAACCTATGCAAACTCACAACAAACTGACTCAATACTTTTATATTCTTACATAAGTGTTACGAGCGTTGTATCTTATGACATTGCTAGTTTATACCACAGATTTCCTACTTTTTGGTATAGTGTTCGAGGTACTTTACATACAAGTAGATATTTATTTACCGGTTTTATACTGCTGTGAAACATGAACAGTAAAACAAGACGATATCAAGAAGTTGGACGCATTTGAAATGTGAATGTACCGCCAAATGCTTAGTTACGTTGGACCTCCTTACGTTGGACCTCCAGAACGACTAACACCGGATTGCTAACAATATTGAACACCTGTGCAACAGTCTACCTCGGACACATAATGCGGCATGAGGAGTATGAACAATTGCAGCTCATCATGGAAGGGAATATCGATGGCAGATGTGGTATAGGAAGGAAAAACGAAGTAATGGCTGCGAAATATAAGAGACTGCACTCACACCGTCGGAAACATCCTTTTACACCAAGCCCTGAACAGAGAGTCATATGGCGTATTGACCGTCAACCTCACACGAGAAAAGCACTTAAGAGGAGGAGGAGGAGGTATTTATTTGAGATGCCGACGGCTGGTAGCTATTGGTTCTGGCAGGGACAGAGTATTTTTCATGAAAAAATCTATTCAATTCTATGCCCCACAGAAGCGTTCTTAAACAACTTATATTTACTATACAACCTGTACACACTGGTAATTAATTAGCAAATAAACGTGCATATTCTTCGGTTGTTACCATTGTGATTTATGCAGGGTAAAGAAAAAAATTATGGGAAGCGTCAAGCTTAGTTTTTTAATGTTTAGATTTTGACATAAAAGTATTTCTCATAACGTCATTTATGTCGCAGATGTGACGTCATCCTATATTTTTTAATAGCAGCAATCTCAGTTTCCGAGACCGTCATTTGAAATATCATGTAATTGTGCATACAGAAATATTACATTTTTATTACATTATTACATAAGGATGCGTGAAAAAAATGTGGTTCAGCTATTTTTAGTATTTTCTTTACAAAACGAAATTTTGAAGAAAAGGTATATACATATACATGCCTTAATATGTAATCGTATTGCCAAGCATTTATAAATAATGTATTCGCTTTGTTGTCCTAGAATTATATGGCCACTTATGCCGACTATTCTTATAAAATAAGACGTACTATCGTTTTTGCTATGATCAGCATAATTTAACTATAAAAAACCCACAGCAGAAACTAGAATTCAGTCATTAGATGTTTGGTTAGAAGTCATAAAAATTGAGTTTTGGATATACGGTCTAAGCGTCATAAGTCATAGTTAAGAATCGATTACAAGTAAAATCGGTATTGTTTGTATTAATTTGGAAATAAATTGTTTTTAAAAAGCAAACTTACAAATTAATCATTAAAATTCTAGTGCTGATTTGTTGAAATATCTACAAACGGGTGGTACTTTATATGTTATATAATTTTCGAACACATATTGTTAAAGAACGGTTTGCTATCAAATAAAAAATTGGCTCTTGGCAGAAAAGTTGTCAAGCAAAAGTAATGATAAAATATTTAAGGATTAGTGGTCGATTAGATAAACGGGTTTAAACGGAAGCAATATTATATGGACAGAGGCTTAAGCTAATGTGATACACGTCAAATCTTCTTTTCAATATTGGCAACAGTATTATTAGATTTCTGATAAGGATTTATTTATTTTAATACAGGGCTTTCCTGTATCTCATATTTGTTTTATATGGTGTCTTATCAGCGCTTGGAATTTATCTGATCATTTGTAGATTAATCCCACACACTGTTGTCTTTTCAGATCTCTATAGCGTTTGTCGCCAACACTTGCAAAATATTTTTAAAGGTTTTTGGATTCCTAAATGCTTTAGCAACATTTTACTGTTTAAACGTTTAATTTAGCAAGTAAACTTTGTGCATCTTATAATTGTTAAGCATTCACCATCGATTACTATACTATATGTACATTTGCCATTTAATACGATTTTTAGGAACTGAAGTGACAATCACCTAAGAAACTTCCGATCGAACAAATATAGGACCAAGCGTTCATAAGGATTTGTTAATCCGTTTTTTCTATTAATAACTCAAAAATTCTTTCAGTCGATATGAATGAAGTGTTTATGGTTGATTAAAAATATAATTGCGCATTTCATAAATCAGTGACAATATAGTCGGTTGACTGTTGCAAAATAAATTCAACTCTGTAATTTGTGTAGTAATACACTTAAGCCCTTTGGTAATTTTCAATGTTTCGAATTATTTTCTTTTTTTGGAAAAAATGCCATAATGCCACACCTTGCGAACTCCTCGAATTCCAAAAATAAAAATAATGCTTAGGGGATTGTCGGAGAAAGTATCGCAGAGTATTTAAATATGAAGGAGGTAACAAAGTTAGAACAAATCTGCAACTAACTGAAAAGCATGATTTAATTGACCATTATTTGATCGGTAATAGAAAATCTCCTGTTAGGAAATAATTGAACTGCGTAGTGTTAAGTAAACTTATCTACGATAGTAAACAATAGTAAACATGTTGATATGTTTATGTATTTACTTAATATCACACTTATTTCTTAATCGGTTGCGCGCTGCCCGTTGTAAAGCGGCATAAGATACACTCAAAATTTAAATAGCACCCTAACAGTGTTGTTCAGGAAAGAGTTGCATAATACTATAAAGCTGTGACTAAAAATTGTCGCTTGATAACAATCACAAACGTTTATTTGAAAATATTTTTAACACCTAATTGGTATTGACGAAAATAAAATTGATTAACAACATTAAAACTTCTTTGATTCTGTGCAAATAACCGACGTTTCGGCCTTTATTCGCGTTTCTTTAATGCTTTTTTTTATATTAAAAAATCATTATGTCGTTAAATACAGAGAATTGTTTGTTTTATATGCCAAGGCACTTCACGAAAGTATATCAATAGTGAATTCAAATATCTTCATAAACCGGCAAAATGTTTTTAATGTTAATGTACATGAATAATAACGATGTACATAGTTACATAAATATTTTTTATTTACGTAGAAAAAAAATTCAACTAACAATATTCACTTTATAAATGCAGAGTTTCCAGTTAGGCTGTTAATTAATTTTATACTTTATACATACTGTTAAATACACATACAGTACATACGTTAGTGCCTGTGTAATCTCCTTATTATCCACTCTTCTCGAACAGCTTCTCATATTCGGTTAATTAACTCCTGCTCAATTTGTACCGATGTTCAGTAAGCGATTGGTTTAATGTGTCCCTGTGCCCTGTTTATCTTACATACGTGGTAGAAATGTAGCCCTTTCTCGGTATGTATTTGGTACCTGAGAACGTGTCAAATGTTGTGTACTCTCTGTAATACTCTGAGTAATAACTCGCTCTGTAATACTGTGAGTAAATACTCTCTAATAACTGTTCATCAGCATCCGAAACCCAAACATCTATTATCGACCACTATCTTCCTGGAGCCAAACTTCAAGTGTCTCTATCGTTTTGCTGGTGTAAGTTCTCACAGCTTCTGCTATGTTAATGTGGTGGCATTTCCAGTAGGGTGTATGGCATTTCCCCATAACTAATTGCATATTCGCAAGTTCAATGTTTGTGTACGTTTTGTGAAAGAAGCTTCAAAATAGGTTACAGATTGACAAATGCGTGTTATTATTGACAAAGGCTATCTACCTGTAACTATCTGTTAATGACAAAAAACATCTCTGCCGCTTCTCCTTTTCATCAAAAAATTTGAGAAGAAAAAAAAAAAAAAAAGAGAAATTTTTTAATAGCAAAAATTTTCGTAATTTGAAGCAAAGATCGTAATTCTTCTTTTCGAGTGCTGAAGTATTCCGATACCAAGACCAATCAATGATCGGACCATTTCAAAATAATGCTAATAACAAAGTTGAAATTCCATTTTCATTTGGAAATTTTTTTTTTTTTTTTAATTTTAAATTATTTTTCTCGTACTTTCCAAGTGAGCCCCTATAACCCCTTAAAAGAAATTATGTCAATTTTAAATCACCCTGTATAGTTTTGTTCAAAAAACTTGCAAAAATCCGTTAGTTTAATAACTATTGGGCTGAGATGGAACGGTAACTTCTGTTTTTAGCCATCTAATTTTATTATTGACAGCTTTGTGGTTCAAAGTAGGCTTATTATTTAAAGGCGCTTTCAAGACTGCGACTGGTGGTGGGGAAAAAACAAGAGCAAGTCAATCGTGAAACACAACGGGAGTGCAGGCTCCGACACTGATTTTTCAAATCCTGAATCAATTACAATTGCTTTAAGTCTGGATAAATGCTAAATTAATAAGAATATAGATAAGGCTGCACGTGTAGCCTTGAGGGCATTAATTTCCCAAAGTGGCAAATTCTCGTATCCTCAAAATATAAATTTTTTGAATTACTTTCAACATGATATCCAATCTTTTTGTGATGTCTGTTTTGTGATGAATATTTAAATCGATACAACTTAACGAATCGGATTTGATATGTACTGATTCGCCTTGATAATAAAATTTTTAATTCGCATTAAATGATCTTAACAATAGTATATTACATAACAACGTGAAAAGTGATTCATTACCGTGCAGGGATGAGATAGTTAAACAGGTGTTGCGGCAGTTGAAAAAAAGCAAATTATCGTTCGAAAAACATGTGACAACTATAAAGAATGGTCCGGCAAAAAATGTGTTAAACATGTTGTATTGGTGATAGTTTTTGTAAAAGACAAGAATATTTATAAACTAGAAAATATGTTTCTTATAA